GGAGGACGATGATGGATCGACCGTTCACCGAATTCCCGGCAGAAGTGATGTTGAAAAGGAATCTGCTCTTGAGGCATGTCATGTGGAGAAAGCAACATTATGTCAGTATGTTCATACTTTGGAATGAATACTTTGAATTGAGTATCATCTTTGCATGTTCAACCTTACTCGCAACTTCCGCCTGTGAGGCCGTAGACAATGTTTCCAACGTCATCACTAACCTACTCAAGGTTCAGACCAAAATGGAGGTCCTTTCTGAGAAGCTTTCAGCCTTGAAGACTAGTGAGGCTGAAAAGACACCCAGCTCATGGATTACAACTATATAAATATATATTATACAAATGAAGTGCTTGTCGGAAAACATATAGACCTTGTGCTATGTCGTTTACCTAAGGAGCAAGACCAAGGTGGATGCTTTCCGGGGCACGCTGATGAAATATCATGATGAGCTCGCCGACTTGAAGTCCTATTTTGATGGGCACATGGATGATGATACTATGGACCAGTCGACTCTTCCCTTCAAAAAGCATGGTGGTTTGACAACATATAGCACTTTAAGCGTAAGCGCATGGTGTCAACACTTTCCATGATGAACGATTCCATTCCTGCACGCCGGCCTAGGAAGGTGAAAGGACTTCGGACCATTGTCCAGAAGATCGAGGTTGAGCCGCAGCCTCAGATCGAGCTCGCAGTGACCACAAGCTGTCATTCCCAAATCGGTTTTGCCATGTTTTAAACATAGATAGCGCTTGGTTTGCTCAGTGGCGCATTCAGACCAGTGCAAGGCCTCACAAAACATCCAACTATTGCCCCAAAAACGTTTCAGAACTTGAGCTGCCAAGTTTTGCACCATCAGGTCTTCCAGGGCCATGATGGAAGAGACGAAACTGAAAAAGTCCGGCGCCCTGATCATCGCGATTACTCACTATTGTGGGTCAATCTTACGGTCTATATTCGTTCCACGAGCGTATCATTTTTGATATAACCACGCTCAGGACTCTTCTGAAGCCAGTGAAAACGGAGAAGGCCTCTGGTTCAGGTTCCACAGCTCCCTCAACGAAGGGAAAGGGGGCTCCCTCGACGAAGGGCAAGGCGAAGAAGGGAAAGGCAGCGAAGGCAAAGGCAAAGCCCAAGACCCGGGGAACCCGGGCCAGGGCTGATGCTAAGTCGCCGGGCGGTGATGCAGAAGAAGGCAATGAGCCTTGCGGTCGGGCCAAGAAACTCCGCAAACGCTCTTGAGGTGAGACATGGTTGGTGAGATCACAGCATGTGTGCCCCACAGCCTTGCTCTGTTCCGTCAAACTCATGTGCAGGTGAGATATGGTGAGATCAACGGTGATTGGCGTCTGATCGTATTGGGGGACACTGTGGGAGAAGCCACTGACCTGAGCTTTTGTTTGTGTGTCTGGGCGTGATGCTCTAGCCACGCCAGACACGTTTCAGTGCTTTAGCTGCCCTTCTATGCAACAATAGTTGAAAGGACCGTTTCCGTTGTGGAGCCACAACCCTAACCTGTGTATAAGGTCAACTCATGTAGAAAGCATCTTGTTTTGTTGATGGGGCTGCTTTCGCAATTCGATGAGTTACACCGCTTAGCATGGCTTTGGTGCTACAATGACATCATGCCACGATGGAAAAGAGATGCAAAAACAGGTTCTCTTAATAATGCATGCATGATTTCCCACTTTAAGATCCTATCCCAGCGCAGGCCTGCTGCAGGAAGAGAAACGCGCCAGCTCATCCAAATCCACTGGTCCTGCCGCAAAGGCTCTTGCAGCAGCAGTTTCCAAGGGAGAGCCTTGTTTCACAGTTCAATGGTTTTCTATGGGGGCGCTTGGAGACCTATCATGAAGGCATCCCTTTCTAAGGTGTTGTAGGTATAGCTCCTTGCGTTGGATAAGGGTAGCAACACTTGCTGTATGCGTGTGTTATTGAGTGTATGGATGTATATGTATATTATGTGTATCTAGAAGTGCAAATCCCCGTTCGCATGTACCACACCCTAAATGGCTCACACTTGTCTGTCCTAGGTGACAGAGAAAGATGCATGTGCGCTTGCGCAAGCTTTTTGGAATGAGTTCTCTCCTCTGTTGGAGCCTGGTGCTAGGCCTCCTAGTGCAGAGTTTCTATCCGTTGCTACTCGGCTGGCTGATACTGGGCACGAGAACCGTTTCACGGACGCTTGCTTGACAAAATTTGGACTCTCAGCCAATATTGAAATGAGCTATTACAAAATCAAAGGGCTGAAAGACACGCATCCTGTGCTCCCCATCGCTGCTACACTTCGGGCGCTGGATGCCAAGGGAAAGCTTGATCTTCTGCTTATGGGCCATGGGCCTTCAACTTTCAACGCATTTTGGGACAAGTTTTGGCTACTGCAGAAGGGTCATCCGGTGTTCGAAAACCACCACGGGCGCTTGGGGGATTGCATCCCTATCGGCGTGCATTGTGACGAAGGCACGACTTTGAAGAAAAAATCAATAATGTTGATCCAATGGCAGCCTTTGATAGGCAAAGGGAGCCGGAAGCGAAAAGGAACTGCAACAAACCCTGGGGTCAACATGCTTGGCGACTCTATCACATCAAGATTTGTGTGGTCTGTGATGCTCGCGCGGCTGTACGCAAACACCAAAGGGAAAGTGAAGAACAAACCACTTCTTGATTTGGTGAGCTGTTTGTCGGAGGAGCTTTCCAGAGCCTTCTACGAAGGTGTCCGCTTGCAGGAATGTGGTCGACGCTTGTACCTTGTCCCACTTTGCCTCAAAGGAGACTGGCCAGCCTTGGCCAAGATCGGGACGCTAACAAGACACTTCGGCAGAAAATCCGATGCAAAGCCGGGCCATGGCATATGCCATTTGTGCAGAGCAGATATGGAGGGCTTCAAGGACTGGCACGATGTCAGCTTTGCAAATATGCAGGCAATGCGGGAAGATTTGCCGATGCCATGGCTCAAAGAGCCCACAGTTGTTGCAGCGGTTCCCTTGCCCCAAGCATACAAACCAGCTTATTTCAGGGTGGATGCATTCCACACACTTCATAAGGGTGTGCTCGCTGACATCGCGGCGAATTCCATCGTTTGTGGGCTTCGCACAGTATAAGTCATGATGTTTTAGTCTTTGCCTATATATAGGTTGTTTGCATCATATATTAGTAAAATGTCTTTCTAAAGGTTCCCTCTCGAATTCCCCCCGATTTCACCGGCTCATCGCTCAGGTATGCTGCTATGACTTCGATTTGTATGGGCCTGGGTCTTTCGACTTTCAGATCGACAATCTTTTTGAGGATTTGAAGGCGTTCTGTGTTCGCAACAGTCTGCAACTCCACATGAGTGGACTCAGCCGCACTCTGCTTGGTTTTGCAACATCAAGCGAATATCCTGCTGGGACGCTTTCCTTCAGTCACCCACTTTTCACAGCTTATCGGGTCGGGTCTTGTTGAATTTCCCAGTCTCCCTCTAACCGTGACTGTTTTGCACCTCACTCACGACCAAGGAACTGGTTCAAGGGCCAAGATACGGTGACCCTACTACTGTTTCTGGAGCATCGGTTCGAATCTGCTGTGAGGGAAGTAGAGCCACATGTGGTGGCATTCTTTCAGGAGATGTTCAACACCATTAAGGCCGCAAATGTTTTCTTGAAGTCTCTGTACCGTACAGCATTGTGGCTGACTTCTGAGGAACGAGATTGTTTGTTGAAATCTGGTCATGAGTGCATACGAGGCTTCCAGCAATGTGCTGAGAAAGCCTTTGAACTTGAACTTCCCCGCTTCAAGTACCAAACGAAGCTGCATATGTATGGTGAGATCTTGTTTGGCCTAGAGAATGAAAGGCACCATGGGCAACCATCTTTGTCCCCTTTGGTCTTTGCCACCCAGCTAGACGAAGATCTAGTGGGGAAGGTAAGTAGCATGTCAAGGACCGTCAGTGTGCGCACTGTCCACACTCGCACTCTGGCGAAATATCAACTAGCATTGGCAGCTCGGTGGTGAGGTGATGCTATTTGACCCTTGAGTACATACAACGCGAGGACAGAACTCTGTTTCCCTTTCAACTACCTGGCTGTCTCCTTCAGCGGCCGATGCCCATGGCAAGGCAAATGTTCGCGACCGCTCTTTGAAAAGAAACGGGTGGAAGTACGTGGAAGTGTTGAAGAATGGGTGGAAGTGGAGCTGGGATGGGTGAAGTGTTGGTTGGAGTGGAGCCTACTCATGTTTTCATGATCTTTCATAGCACCTTCTAATATCTCATGTTCAGGAGCCAAGACACAGCTAAGATAAAACCGTGCACTTTCCATGGTTCACTATTTTAAACGCACACCTGGTTTTCCAGGTGAAACAATCATGGAAATGGACAGTGGCCCCTTGGAAGACGATTTTCCTCTACCAAGAGGGGGTGAACTCCACTTGCATGATTGTTGGGAGGGTACTTTCTTTTGACCACTGTAAGAGGTAGTAGGTAACACACCCTAACGCCCTATGGCTGTCAGTCTGCTAGTTTGTGTCTTCTTTCTCTACCAGTCGTCTTCCCCGATCCTCTCAGAGGAACTGGTCTGAATCAAACCAACCGATAGCCGCTTTCCTTTCGCGCTTGCGAACGAGAAGATTCTCCGTACTACATTGCGGTTGAGCCGGAGGATAGCAACCTCCGGCGTAGCCCAGGTGGATAGAAGCAGCTACGTAACATCGGTCCATCCAATTCTGGACAGAGTTTGAAGCCACCAGCGGGTGCAACCCCCCATCTTCTCATAGATGTCACACCATCCAATTCCCCCCAACACCATCCAGTTGGGATCTGGAACAGTGACATACATGGTCAATCAAAATGGATATCAATGGAGTCCACATGAGCATACAGTCTGGACTAATTCCATGAAGTTTCCTAATTCCATATCAACATGGAGTCAATTCCATGGACTGGGTATACTCATTCCTATGGATATGATGTCACCAATTCCAGTCCCCATGGATTCCATCTCTGTTCCATGGGCCGCATCCGCCGGCGCCTCCGCCAGCAGCGCTGCCGGCCGGCCCTGCAGATCCCGGTAGGTGAAGAGCAGTCGACAGGTCTCCACGAAGGAATCCGACGTGTTCCTCGGAGTCGGAGAGTCGGCCCGGGCTCCGCCGAGGTGATTGAACTCTTAAGTCCTCCACCGTTTTTGCCTCGTGGTTTCTGGGAATGGGAAGGGGGAGCTAGAGGGGAGCTGGAGCAGGATTGCTTCTTTTTCTGCGAAAAGGCTGGATTGGTTGAATCAGGTGACTATGGTGACTGTTCTCAGTTCTCCGAAGAAAGAGGGTGAGTTCATAATATGCGTAAGGAGATTGGAAGACATAGGTGGCATGGCATCATGGTCAACTCTCAGATTGTGGGGTATGCATAGAAGGAAGATGGGTTTGCTAAGAAGATATACATATAGGTACAATCCTCGGACCTGGGACTATCTGCAAGGGGTGGTGGTAACAAGCACACCAAGTCGGGTACCGCCATGCCGCAATCGCCACCGCAATTGGAAAGCATATTACACCTACTCTTGTGACAATTCACGGTCCATCATCCATCAACAAAGGTCTCCCCACCAACATTCATCATTGACCCAACACGATCCCATGATCTAGAGGTCATCACAATGGAGACTGCAAGTCAATCCAGAAACAACTCTTCATTTCTGAGTCACATGTTCACATCTCTTCACTCTACAGGAGCAAAAAACACACTGATCTACTACATGTCACTACACTCCTCCGCCTCCTCCTGTACTACACTCCTCGGTCCGACTCTCTGACCCTCAGAGAAGTTGAAGCGCATCCGAGCGTCTTGTGCAAGTTGCTCACTGCGATCCGTGCGGCCAAGGTGGAGAAGTCGGGATGCTTCTGGGACCTCGGTCGACGGAAGAAGCAGCAGGCGGGGCATAGGGCGCCCATGGGACCGGCATAGCTATATTCCAGTCCCATGCATGGTCTGGGCATGTTGGTCTCGAAGAAATGGGATCTTTTCAGCGCATTGATTGAGTGGGACGAGTGCTTTTTGAATGGGATCCGAATTCAGGGCTCCAAGTGGACACTCATTATCGCGCCAACCCTGATTTGACTGACCTGCTTGATCCGGCTTGAAACCGCGCGATCGATTGTGACGGATTGTAGCACCTATATATATATATATATGACTTTTAGGTTTTTGAAGATCTACTACTGCGAAGGTCTTTAAACCCGTCCAAAAGGGCACAAAGGAGGGCACAAAGGTCATCTTCTAAGACTCAATGTAGTTCCCAGGCAGGCAGTGGCAGCCCGAAAAAGAGCCACTCATCCGAGGGTCGCGTGTTCGACCATTCTAAAAAGTAGAACAATGACAAGGGGATGTCAGGTGGGCTGTATAGCATTAAAAAAGTGCTTTCTTTGCCCAAGGAGATGCTACAAACTATATATCAGATTATCAGTCAGTTCTCAACATCAACGGAAGAAACCTCCAACAAGGGAAACACATGGAAACACCATGGTAGAACAACTTCGTTTCGCATCTCTTTAGAGTCTCCGAAACATCCACTCCGCAAAACGTCTGGCGACCTTTCTGCGTCGACAGCTGCCGCGGCACATATAGGCGCAGGTTTCTGCTGCCAGTCGATCCACCTCTGCTGTGGTGATCCCCTGGTAGAAGCCCTCCACCACCTGAAAATGATGATGATGAGGATGATGATGAGGATGACGATGTTGATGAGGAGGAGGAGGAGGAGCAGGAGCAGGAGGAGGAGGAGTTCAAGATGTTTTTCGGGATTGCCATGGATTCGTCTGACTTCTTAAGTTCTTCAGACGTTGAGTCTGAATTTGATGAGTTGTCAAATATCGGATGCTGTTGCTATGAATGTTAGATAGCTTGTGACAGGGGCGGGTTGGGTTGTTGGGTGTTCTTGGGATCGGATCAGTTTCACCGGGTTAGATTACAGAATGGTTGGGCCTGATAGACCCACTGGGCTTCATGAGGTAGGTGAACACTGCGCGTTCAGTGCAGGGCTGTCAAGATGGACTGCGCGTTCCTGATGCGTCAAGATCATGGTCCATGAGGGGGTCCTTCTTACCAGGAGTGTACCCGAGTGTACCCCGACCGTTAGGAGCATCCAAACAGTTATATAAACATTGGAGGCTGCAACCAAGAGCACTATATAGTTACCTGAAAAGTACACAAATGCAAATATCCAGCTCAAACAAGGATGGGTTCTATAGCTGGTTGCTGTCTCTGCAGCCAGTTTGGTCACTCACTCCACAGCCGGTCCGAAGTTTCGGTGATCGGGCCGAAGTTTCGGTGATCTGGGCCCTGCAAAGGAGATCTGAGACTGTTAGCAAGGGGTACTTGCATAGGACACAGGTCTGACAACCCCATGGCCACCTAACAGTAGGCCACCTTCCTGAACAACAGTTCAGACAAGTTGGCAACATGACAACTTGAAGCCCCGCAAGCCACACAAGATGTCCCACACAAGATGCGTGACATCAAACCAACATGCCTTGAAAGATTAACATGGAACCTGAAAACAACCGTATTGTAAAGAAAAATTCGCCCGCACCGAAGGAACTGTCTTTGATTTCTTCAACTGATTAAAAACGAGCAAAGAGAAGCACATGTAAAAACGAGCAAAGAGAAGCAAATCATTGGCGGTGTTAGTTATGCTTTGCGAGCGACGTAGCATTGTTGACATCATGTGTACTTGCCCTGTGGCCTTCCCGAAGAGAAACGATTAAAACTATTGATCATGTTGAGTTACGTTGCCCGACTAACAATGCATTAATTGAAAGCATGCGCGTGTTTGCACCTGCGTCGTCGATATCCAAGACGCAACGTCTCAGGGATCAGTCTTCGTCGCGAAGCTGCTGTGTGAATAGTCTTCCAAAGGCTCCATGTTCTTGTTCCATCGGGCATACATACTGTACTTATTGGACCAGTCACACTTCAATTCCTCGATTTGTCTTTCAAATACTTTGCTGCTCTTGATCTCTCAGCATTGCCAAAAAAAGGCCTTGGACGTCCCCAGAACCGATCGCGCAGTCCAGGCAGATCGCGCAGGAGGCCTTCTGTGTGATCAGCACGGGATTGATAAACTGCATGTCCAAACCCTGTCAGAAGAAGGAAACAGAACTCTCGAAGAAGAAAAAACAGAACCCTCTGAGCCAGTGGAAGAAAAAAGAACACAGAACTCTCTCTCTGGTACTACTGTGCGTTATGTGTATGTATCTGTATGTGTCATAATGTTCAGAACTGCCGTGAAGCTGTCTAATTTCAGCAATGTACGTGTCACTGTGTACAAACAACATCAAATAGCTTGGCAGAAGAGTTATATTTTGGCCAACTCGTTGAGTTGTGAGGAGAGCTGCAATCGCCCCCTGAGGTCGGTTTGCACGTGGAACATGCCAAGAGCCACTGTTGAATGTCCTAAGAAAGCCAACTTGTCTAGTCTGGCAAAACTTGATCCACTTGAAGATGCCTCTTGTTAGGTTCTAAAAGAGAACCACTTGGTTGTATGATTGAACATGTTGACCAGCAGTTTATACCTATATTGTAGATTAGCAGGGAAGTGGTTACTAGCTAAAGATTGAACTGATATTTTGTCGTCTGGTAGACCACACTTGATCGTGTTGGTGTGGTCCTGCGTTGGCAATCTGCGATTCCTAGCCTATAGTATAGTACTGAATTATGTATTGGCAACTGGACAATGAATCAGCAACATGTGACGTGTCAAGTGTTAAATAGCTAGCTTTAATATTGGATCTTCCAGAGACTCAGTTCCAGTTCAACCAAATCAAGCTAAGGCAGTTCGAGTAATCACTTGTCAACATTTCTAGGAGAACCCCTCCTGGCAAAGGGTCCGAATGCGCTTTGTGATGTTGTCGAACTTCACCTCCTCCGCGTGTGAAGAACAAAGAAGCTGCAAAGCACACCAGCATATGTTCAGACTTTGGGGTCGTAATTGAAGTTCTTCTCTGCCAATAGTGGGTCCACCACTTGGTGTTTCTGTGTTTTGAACCCCGACTCAACGTTCATTAGAAAAAGCTGCATATCCCAGGCTTCCGTGGATGAACGTTGGTGAGGGTCGGATTCACCCAAAAACGTCTATGACAAGTCGCCTGAAGCGTTACCATCCCAGCAAGGGTCGGGAAACAACATAAATAAAACGACAGGAATCCCACATGGCGCGTTGTTGGGGGAGTGATGGAGAGATCATGGAAATTTGATCACCAGGGAACAACATGGAACAACCATGATATAAATCTCTTTAAAAAACGCACACCCAACCACGTTGCTCCCTGGTAATCAACATTTCCCTGATCTCTCCATCAAATCGGACCAAGCATCCAAAAAGACCTCTTTCCTGATCGATGCATGTCGTCCCCCAAGTCTCCGTGAAGTCTCGTGGATTGAAGCGGAAACACAAAAGGCCCCAAGGTACACAACATTCACTTTCAAGGGAGAACTCGACCCTGGAACATGTTCGTGGCAGGGAACCTGCAGTCTTGTGGGAAAATCATTGAACTGTATCATCAAGAAGATCTGTTGTGATTATTAAGAAACACATGTGCTTCTGTGGGTGGCCTGGTCTTCCAACCGGAAACAGCTGGGCCAGTGAGCAGTCAAGCAAAGGAACCTGGCTTCAATATCTGATGAGAATTTTGCTTGGTGATGCCCATGAGACCTACACCATTGAGAGATCCACGTCCAGCTGCCAATCAACCACTGATCAGAGGGTACAGCAACCGATGGCTCCCAAAATTCATTTGAAATGCAACTGGGACACACTAGCTGGGATGCAACAGGGCGGGACAAAGAACAGAAGACAATGTCTTTAGCCCCTCTTGCATTCAACTCACTCATGGTGCCTTTGGAGAAAAATTCCCCTGAAAAGCTCCACCAAAGAACACACGTCCTTCCAACCGCCATCTCATCACTCAACTGCAGGACCCTGCCGCACTGTTCCATCACTGTCGCATCACTCTCCCCCACATCAACCCGCATGGCGACAGTCACTACATCGTGGTGGCTCGAGGCCTGGGTCTTCCCATTTCGTTTCACCACGTACATCGCCATGGACTTCGCAGGACCTGAGCAGCTTGCTCCGGAACGCCTCCGATCAAGCAACTTGTTTGGGAGTGTCCGTACACACTGGAGTAATGGACCTCGCGATACCAAGCTCCAAATGCAACAAGATCTTGAAGTTCGTCCGAAAAGAACGAGGTCGGAACGGTTGTCGCTCGCCAAAAAACAAGATGATTCTCTAGCTCCCTGGTAGATGTACCTTTTATTGCTTGAATTTTATTGCTTGGGGCGTTTTTCAATCCAACCATGACTTTTGCGCCGGGTCCCAGAATGACCCTCAAATTTGGAAGCGGTCGAAGCTGGGATTCAGCCACTACCTGGTTCTCCCTACAAATGGATGTGTCCATAAACCACCACCTGTTATGTCCAGGATCTCAAGTGCCTATTGGAACATGGCTGGGCTGCACCCGAGCCGCCAAAGGCTCGACCCAGTCCGAGCCACTCGCGCCCACGTGGCACCTCTGGGAGTTCATCTAAGAGCCAATGCCAAGGATGGAAAGTGAGATGAGCAACTGGACGCTTTCCCAACATCCCAACTAGACAGTTCTTATAGGTGCAAAGAACATTAAGCAGCCTATTCTTGAAACTAGTACGTATATCTTGCTGACGGCAAGAAGGGTTCCAGGTCAAGTTCTCCGCGTGGATGCTAAAGGACTGCACTCATGGTTCCAAGGAGGTCTGTTCATTTCTAGGTGTCCCCCCTCGTTGAAAACATAAAAAATACCAATGATCTCAGTTGATACTCTGGCTTCTGTAACATATTCACAGCTGCAGTGTTCTCTCTATGTAGAAGCTCAAGCTCTTTGCCATGTCCAGTGTCGACCAGTGGTTTCATCCTTCTCGAATCCCATGGACACCTGACAACCAGAAAGCAGAACACATCAACATTCTAATGATTGTTTGCATGTACACTCCCTGGAACTAACATGGAAGTGGAGAATGGCCCGTTGGAAGACCATTTTCCACTACAAACAGCTGGTTTTCCACTTCCATGTTAGTTCCAGGGAGAGTACGCTTCGTGTCCACCTGCACCATCTGGAGTAGCTCTTACAACAAAGAGGGAACCTCCACACAAACAGGTACATGTGCCCATGGTCCAGGGCACAAACTGGATAGACACGGATACCAGAACAAACACCTGGGATTGAACATCATTTAATAATCTGAACCAGAAGAAAAACAACAACATATCAACCAGAAAGTGGATTCCCCAATAAGCAATACCAATCCGAGCTGTGGTCGTAGGAAGCCAAGAATCATGTCTCCACATGTCTTCCATTTGGCTGAGACGGTGATGTGACCCCACAACATTCCTCAAATATTACTGGTAGAAACAACACTTTTTGGGTCACTTCATGGATGCTCCCCAATAGTGAAATGGCAAAGCATCACAACACCCATTACAACAACAAACGATGAACCAACCTTTTTGGTGGTGGATGCTCCCCCCAAACAAAACAAAATAACACACCCACCAAGCCGATGAGTGGTACACCCCACTTGGAAAGGTTCGAAAGCCCTGTTGTAGCAGCTGACCGCAGCTATCCTTTCTTGCAACGAGCCAAAACACATGAAAATTATAGAACACGGTATTTCCGAAGATGTTTCCCGCTCATGAATTACTCGACTTCGAATGATGGACAAAAAGAGAAACGATCCGATACATGTTTTCAGTTGTTTTTTTCTCCAACCCCCAAAAAGAAGCATCCTTTATCACTGTTCAGCATCCGTTTCACATCTTTTCACCATCCTTTTCATGAAAAAAACATCTGTCCACTCTGTCCACCATTTCAGCATCCTTTTTCACCTGCTCCGGGTCTCCAGGCCCGTTGGCCCAGAATTCTCGCTGCTTGCTGGAGATGCCCGTTCCATCGAGAAGGGGGGCTGGGATTGGGATAGGCTTAATGGTGACCCCCAATAAGAGTATTCTTAGACAGAATCTTCCAGGAATTTGTGCAGGTGAATCAAACTTTTCTATCTATCCTTCCGGGCAAACACTCATGGAACAACCCTCAAATTGGGACTCCCCTTTAAGGGTGAGACTTACTCTTTGTTTGCGGCATTTTCCCTTGAGGTGGGGTGCTTGCAGGACTATGATTCTAGCATTTCCCTGGTTGGGAGGATACAGTAAGTGGTTTTTGAATTGCGGTAGAACGGACAAATCCTCCACTGAATTCCATCTTGGATTCAGCAAAGGTAGCAAACGGCATCCTACAAATGGACGCGGAGGACAGACTCTACAGAACGTCTACCTGCCTAAAGCCTGAAACCCTTTCTACCATGAATGGTACGCGTAAACACAAAACCTGGTTGTTAAAGCCTGGGGAAAAAAAAACACAAAACGTAACCACATTGTAGAGGAACATGTTGTGGCACCTTGGGTCTTAGCTTGGTTTATCTGAGTCTCTCTGTGTCTTTAGAGGGACATGTCCTGTGCGTTTTTGAAAGGTCCCGGGATTTTATCAGTTTCTAACTCATCCTAGATACATCACACTCATGTAATAAACTTGTCCAATCTTGTCCACATCGCAAACATGTGATTGGTATGGGATACTCTCAAGCTATCTGAAGCTACATGGGTGTGTTTAATAGGGAGACCCGCTGGTCCAATGGGTAGACTGGTCTATTTCCCGAAGCTTCCATGAGGTCGTTGCCTGGGAGGTCTCACTATTTTTGCTTTCCAACATCTGTCAAGTTGCCCTTACTGCCTTACTGCATCGTGGCTACATCATGGTTGCTACGTCACCTATACATATGTCTCCGCAGGTAGTGCCTTTCGTCCAGTCCTCAGGGGGTCTCCACTCTCAGGCAAAATACATTGGCCCAACGGTCGTCCATGCAAATCTGCGGCGCCGGCAGTTGGTTTGGAAGGCAAAACAGTCTGTTCGAAAGGGGTTCGAGCTTTTCGATGTGTGGTTATATAATTTGCCTGCGATCTGCAAACTGCTTGAAAGTCCGAAGGTGAACATCTGGGAAATTGGCCTCGGTGTGTGAGAGAAAACCATCCAAAACACGGCAGAACGTCCGTCTTCGACTCTGCTTGGCAGCCAAATTAGTTTCAACGTATCTCATGATCACTTGAAAAGCCTTTACGGTTCGTCAGCATGCAATCTCACAATAGAGCCTTCCCTACGAATCAAGGACCCTCAAAGGTTGAGGTTATGAGGGTCCAAACCCCTACTATGTGGGGTCAACACCCTCCATAGATAGGAGGGTCCAATGATGGTTAGGGTTGCTTAATGTCGCTTATATGCACACCCTCTTAATATACGAGTATGAATGACATGAATCAGGCTGCGCTGTCTACATCTCCAAATCACCTTTCTTCTGACTCCCATATCCTTGGATCAACTTATTCTAGTGACCTTGCACCAACGAAAAAAGAAACCCAACAAAGCCCATGCCATCATCCTAGAGGTTAGTAGTCTCCGTGCAGGTTGCAAATCTCCTTCCGTCTCAAATCCGTCGCAGTTCATTGAACTTGCAGTTCCTCCGTCTCCAATCGGCAGTGAAACCAACCGTTTCGAACGCCAGGATCGGACCCATCCAACGCGTGTGGGTGCTTGTCCTTTGAAAGGGTGCTTGCTAGTAATGATTGGCTTCATCCCTGGCTTGTCCCCGAATCACTCTAGAAGAGCTCCTCCCGCCTTCACACGTATAGATCCTAATGGTATGACCTCACTCTTAATGGGAAAAAACATATCGACATACAATGACATACATATCTCCTCCCCCCAAATAGCAGCACAACATGTCGCCTCCCCACGTGGGACGTGCGACAGCGAAGCCGACCTCAAAGCACCGCACAGGTCTTGGATTTCACCGGCGCTGGACACCTGGAGCGGATCACCTGGCGGACGGGGTCGACTCCACAGCGTGCGTCTGCGTGCGTCTGCGTGCGTCTGCGTGCGTCTGCGTGCGTCTGCGTGCGT